CCATTATTTAACTGTAACTATTAAAAGAATTGTATGAAAAAGTAGCATCTCAATCTGTAACGCTAAGGAAAAGAATCAGCGAGAAACTACAACACGGCTCTATGCTTAAGTGTGCTTCGCACTCTCTGAACCAACCCATTTCTTTTTTTCAGTCTTTCCTCGCGTTGGGAAGGAGCAACGGCTCGTAATTGAAAAATTAAACAAAGGAATAGTTGTACCGATAGCGTCCTTTATTTTACATAATACTCCGCGAAAGCCAATCGGAATAAAGGAAAGAACTCAAACTAAAATCAACCAAACTTTCCGAAGCGCGGAAAAACGCGGTTGACGAATGCGCGATTAGCTGTAGCTTTCCATCTGATTGGTTGAGAAATTGGCGCTACTTTTCTAGACCAATCACACATCGAAGTAAAGCAAAACCAAAGAAAACCCGGGTTACTATTGACACTCGACTCATAATTCCTCTTCACGTTTTTTCCCTTCTTGGGAAGCTAATGTTGGAAAATTTGTCAGTGTTCTATAAAACCGTGAGATTTTTCTACTTTCTAAATCAGATCTACTTCACCTTTCCGAAGCTAATTAATGTATTCTATGGGCTAATTTAACAGTTCCTCATAAGGAGCGAGCGAGGTTTCAAACAAGAACATTTTGCATTAAGTGTCCTACAGTTAAGCTGCTTCTAAAGGTATACGTGAAAGTTGTACTCCGTAGTTAAAAAAACTCGACCAATGGTAAAACCATTAAGAAAAAATCTCTTTACATACAAATTTTAGAATTTAAAAGCAGTTCAAATAATGGGGATGGTAGTAAAAATACTTCGCACCACAGTTTTCAATGCACTTCGTTATCGGATTCCGACTCCACGATGACATCATCGGAATCATCGTCGGCTAGGTTCGTACCCTCATTTGCCTCTTCGTCTTCTACAACGACGTCGTTGGAGTCATGTGACGTGCCCTCATTCGCCTCTTCGTCTTCTTCTTCTATAATGACGTCATCGGAGCCATGTGACGCAGTCTCTTCTTCATCAGATCTTTGATTCACGAGTAAACGGTTGACCTCTTGAGCCTTCTTAGACCCGACATTGGCATCGGAGTCTTCGGAATCAAACAGTTTTTTTCGTACGTCGTCGGAAGAGTTCGGAATTCCGGTTTCTCCCAAATGTTCCCTGGCACCACTCTTTTTTACAGGTTTTTCAGTGGCTGGGGTTGATGGAGTGTAAAATTCGTGACCGCACTTGAGAGATGGAGCAAGTTTGGCCATAACCTTAAAGGGATTTGTAGTCTTACTTTCCGTTTCACTCTCAGTTGTCAAAATGACCCGTACCTGGTTGAAAGTCTTCAACACTTGCTCCTCTTCGTGAATCACATCACCTGATTTCAACTCGACGCTCCAAAGCAAACGCAACTCGGCTGGTTTTCCTCTCTCACCCTTGGTGAAAGCGTAGCGTTTCACCCCGGGACAGAATTTCATGTACACCCTTTTGACCATACCCAGTTCTGGCACAAGAACATCCACTGATTGGTCCATTACGTTAAGTACAATCCCATTTTCCTCCAGAGGGCCGCTTTCACGAACAAAAATACCAAAGAACATTTCAGTGCTCAATTCGCCGGCTCTTTTCGCTGCCATTTTGCGATCATTACAATGGTGCGCGATCATGTCTACGATAGAGGGATCCTGGTTCAGCGGTTCATCGATTCCAAGGCTCGCAGCCAGAAGCCTGTGCACCACAACATCTGCGTATCTTCTTATTGGGGACGTAAAATGAGTGTACAGAGGCACGCTTAGGGCATAGTGTCCATATTCGCCGTCATCTACGCACCCCGTGCAAAAATACTCCGCGTTCTTCATGGGACGCATGGCCAAATTGACCAGAACTTCACGCTCAGGGGAGGAGAGCGGAAATTTGGCGAGCGACTCGTGAATTGTCTTAGATGAAGTAGTGTTGAAGTTAATACCAAGCGATTTACACAGCTCAAGAAGATCGTCGAGCTGTTTCTGGTGCGGTCTTGGGTGTCGCCTTAGAAGCGCTGTCTCGGGATATGCGCTGTAAATGTGGTGCGCGACCGCCATGTTGGCCAGGAGCATAAACTCCTCGATTAGCTTGTTCGCCTCGCGCTGTTGGTGCACGTGGTACCCGTTAGGCAGACCAGTTTCTTTGTCCAGCTCAAACCGGATTTTTGCCTGATCCAAACGAAGCGCGCCCTTCTCCAAGCGGTTGCGCCTGAGACGAATTGCAAATTTATGAAGCTGATTGACTTGCGCAGAAATTTCCTCAGCAATTGCGCCGTCTGATATCGGGGGAAGCTCGTTTTCATTCCATTTCCTGTTCGGCTTGTCAATCATATCTTGCGCATGCTCGTAAGCCATTTTTATTCGCGAGCGAATGATTCCCCTCCCCTTCCAATGGTCGATAATTTCTCCTTAGCTTGTCATTTTCCAAACAACGGAGAAAGTCAGGCGGTCTTCCCCAGGATTCAAACTGCACAGCTCTTCGCACAATCGCCGCGGAAGCATAGGTACCACTTTCTGTACCATGTACGTAGATGTTGCTCTCTCGACAGCCACTTCATCTAGCGCTGTTTCCGAACGAACGAAGTAGCTGACATCAGCAATATGGACGCCAACTTCAAAGAGGTTATCTGCAATTTTCTTGCAGTGAACGGCGTCATCTAGATCCCTGGCTGTGAGAGGATCAATGGTAAAGACGCAATCATCACGGAAATCTCTTCGATATTCGAGTTCCTTCTCGGGTACTTTCCAAGGTGTTTGTTGGGGTAAACACGCCAGAACCTCGTCCGAAAATGGCCCAGAATCTATGCCGTACTCCAAAAGGATCCCCTCTGTTTCCGGTTCAATTTCACCTGCTTCGCCCAGGCTCCGCGATACTGAACCAATAGCGAGAAACGAATCCCTTGAAGAGTTCTCAGGCCAACTCACAATACGTCCCACGTGTAAAGTGTTCTCGAAGTCACGCGGCCTGTCAAAAAATCCCGGTGGGCAGTTGTTCCGCGGGATGCGAAACCTTGGCAACCGACTGTCAGTTGGGGAGAAACACCCGTCGGGGTTTTCCTTGGGGTGGGAGAAAGGTGTTAGGTGTCCGCTTGCAACTCGCGACTGTTTCTTCTCAATGATGTAGATCACTTTGGCTCTTCTTTGCAAAAATTCGTCAGGAATTTGATTGATATCGATGTAATGTGACTCAGGGGTATGGCCAGCCATATTCTCCATACGGACCCTCCTTGCTGAAGGGGATTGCATAACATTCCCAGAGCTCATAGCAACAGTGTCCAAACTCTCAGCTAATTTGTCAACGTGATTATGCTCCGTTTTATTCGCGACCAAACCGTTGTATTCCAGTTCTTCCAGCATTATTTTCCATTTCTCCCTCGGAAAGATGTCCAGCGCAACGATGTCGCCATTGAGAGCACGGTTACGATTCAACATCCCTTCCAAGAGTACATCGCGTTTTATACCAGGTACTGTTACCCAGGCCAGCTCATAGTTTCGGGGACTAATCCTCAATATTCCTTTCACAAGCTGTCCTTTTTTTAATCCATCTGAGACTCTCTCTACAGACCAGTACTTTTCGTAGAGAGGTTTCTGTTTCTTTTTCCCACTGTTGGGCGTTCTTCGATTTGAATTTCTACTCGTAGATTTCCCCTGAGTACTTGGGTTGAATTGATCCGCATTTCTCGTCTCTGAATCTCTGGCGGACACTTCACCGCTGCGTGGACTGTTGTTTGCTAGTTGACCACGATCTAAATCATTTCCCACAAGGTCCTGATGGCTACTTCCCTCGCTAGCTTCCTCGCCATCTTGACCTCGATTGGGTTTTCTTCGTCTTTTCCTTTTTCTCTTACCACTACTCGCGTTCTCAGTGGTCTGCAAATCTCGGCGATCTTCTCTCTCTCCACTCTCAGCGAAGTTTGCGTTCGCACCGTCTCCTTTCGCCATGCTTTCCTTTGTTACTTCAACTGGTAGTTCTGTTCCCTGTAATGATGGTGGTTCTTCGCTGAGCTGTGCACTTTTTCCTCGTCTTTTTCGCGATTTTCGCTTCTTCTTGCCGTCCGCGTTTGGTTGATTTTGACTAGCAGTTAATTCTGAATCAGCACGATTGTGTTCTTGATCAGCAAAATTGCTCTGCTGTTTGGCTGAGTCAGGAGAAATCCTTTTAGTAACATCACAATCGGCTACGATTGCATCATAGGTTGTACCCGCTGACGCAGCGCTTGCAGTTTCAGAATCTTGTTTTTTCTTTTTCCTTCTCCTCCGTTTTTTCTTTTGATTTTGAGATTTGCCATCTGTAGCATCTTCTTCCTTCCCCGCATGATCGTCTCTGTCCACATGTGTCGCATCAGGCAAGAAATTTGCTTTCTCTTTTGATTGCGGTATCGTTGCACGTGGATCGCTAGTTCCTGCACGCTCATCGATGCTCTCAGCACGAGCGCTGCTCTCGGCGGGCTTTGTGCAATCTGTAGCTTCTGTTGCCTCTCTTTTCCCCTCGCTGTTACTAGCAATTGCTTTTTTGAAATCCATTGGATACACACTGATCTTCGCAAAATTCAAATGAATTAGAGTGGAGTCGAACTTAAAGTGAAAGTAGTGTGTAATCGGTTCAGTATTAACCAAAGTTGAGCCATAAGACAGCGCTTCACTTAAGTCGAATTAATTTCTTGCGTTTCTTCAAACATTGAATGATTCAGTTTCACCTTTGGTGTTGCAAAGAAAGAGAAACTCTCGCATTACCTGTCTCTAGCTGCTCCCGCCATCTTTGTTTTGTGTTACCCCTCCCATGAGACTTTGAAGTAGTTGGCAAATCACGTGATCATTCATCGAGAAAAAGAAGATGGCCGCTTCTGGAGGTACGGAAATGACATCTGAAATAATCTAGTCTTCTGAAGATATTCTGCAATCAGATGTTCATTAGAAGACATCCAAGTTGCTATGATGAGTGCGGACTCTCAAACGCTTCAAGCCAAGTATCAGAAATTGGCTGCAGAGTTTGCAAAGGTACTTCATAGACCTTTACAGTGAATCGCGACGAAACATCTTAGTCAAGATCATATACTTGTCAAGTAAAACTAATTAAGATGACTCAACTTCATTAAGATATTTTTCTTCGATCGTCCATTTAAAGAATGTATGAAGCATTTTTGAATCAAAGTTGACTTTTCCATGTTATACCCATAAGTCACCTTAAGCGATTTTCAGCTAAAGAGAAATATATCACAGTAATTGATCCATAATTTTTATTTTTCTACTCATTCAGCAAAGAGCACAGAACACGGTTTTAAAGAAGGCAGTTATCGAGGAACAAGAAAAAACCAAGACCCTTCAAGTAAGGAGATTTAGTATTTTAATTATATCTTTAAGCGTCCCTTTTTAATGGATACACACACTCATCATCAATATTCGTTTCAATGGTCTTTGATTTGTCTTAAAATTGTTTACTGATTGTAGGAAACATTGCGGCAGAAGGACCAGGCCATTAGAAAATATGAACAGGAGATCGACAGCTTACAGTTCAGAAATGACCAGGTGAGACAGGAATCACTGAATTAAACTTTTACTCTGAAGATCTGATTGATAATTCTCCTCCGTAGCTGGTATACTCCTCCTTGTAAATTAGTTATAAGAATTTGGTGTCAGATCAAGACACAATTTCTACCTGATAAGTTTGTGTATTCTCATTACCTGTTTGATGAATACAGGGATATTATAAAAATCAAAGGATTTAACTGTTTTAAAGAAGTGTGATACAGTACTTTTCTGTTTTCACGACAAGTTATTAAAACAAAATTTTTTGAAGCTTCTGTATGTCTCCTTGATTTTACAAGTTGTCAAAGAGAGTGGCAGTGTTGCAGGAAGAGCTTGATGATTACGATGGAAAGAATAGAAGAGGAAAGGTTGTTATTGTTCATATACTATTTAGGGTTTTGGGTGACATAGTGGCCTTATGGTCAGTGCTTTGGACTCCAGGGCTTAGGGCCTGTTTCTTGAAAGTCCTGGTAGCTTAACATGCTCAAAGTCGTGTTTTAAAATCAAAGTTTAATAGATAGGAAATAAGGTTTTGGCACCCAAACCAATCCTTATTGCTTGTTTAGCTGATAGTTTTATTGTATCATTTTCAAAACTTTTGAAATCCCTATCTTGAATGAAAATGAAATTGTATTTTGTTTAGATACATGATTGTGTAATAACAAATTCTCAGAACCAGTCAAACAAACAGCAAACAACTGAAAGTGAAAAGGGCAATGACAAACCAGGGCTCAACACCAACTTTTCAACTTACTAGCTAAATGGCTCACGACATCTCAGATGTTATGACAATTTCGGTTTGTTTACTAGCCAAACTGGCTAGTGGAAATAAACACCAGCCAAAACTGAATTTCTACAAGTCTGTGGCTAGTTGGCTACTATTAGTGTTGAGTCCTGCAAAGTGATCAGCTTTTTATAAAGAGGCAGACTTACTGATTTTTTTCATTTTGGGTGGCAGAAGTTTAGGACAACTTGGGACAAGCCACTATTAAGTGGGTTTTCTATCAGATGGGAAGTGTTAATTGTTATCCCCTTTTGGAAAAAATTAGTTAATGAATTAAAATGAATGAATCAGTCTTTCTTGATGATTTTCTCTACTGCTTCTTTGTCATCTGGTTTTGTTTATTTATCCATTTTCTTTTATGCACTTTAGTCAAGAATTGATGGTGTGGCAAAGGGAGATGTCAATGATGTAAAAGATCAAGAACTTCAGATAAAAATCCAAGAAAATGAGAGGCTGCAGCGGGAGGTTGCTATCAAAATTTTGCTTTCACTGGGCCACAAGTTCATTAAGTAAATTTAATCCTGTTTAATCATGGTATTTTGCAGTTGTACGAAACCACACAGGAACACAGAGGAACAATATTGACTCTTCAGGAAAAGTTAGAATCATTTGAAAGGTTAGAATTTGCAAACAATCAGAATGCTGTAAATTTTCTTGTAATCAATTTAATTTAATTTGATTTTAATTTATTAGCTTCGCTAACAGGTAGGGACCCCCCAACAGCTTGCGCCAGTTACTGCGGGCCCTATTACCCACCCATCCCATCCCAAGGGAGGACATCCACCACACAGTGATCTCGTGCGTGGGAAATTAACGTCTCGTACCCCAATCAAGGAGGCTTAGTAATTACAAGGGCTTCTAAAAGGAAGAGAGTGTCACTTGGGGCTTACTAGTGAGGGAGGGGGGAGTCTTATTATCCAAGAAGGGGCTTACTAGGGAGGGAAGCTTATTAAAGATAGGGCTTATAAAAGCTGTTGGTGGTACGTGATAGGGAGGGGAGCCGATAGAAAGAGGTTTATAAGAGATGAGGCCCCATAGAAAAGGGCATATATTATAGCAGGGTGCCTGTTCAAGAGAGGAGGGGGGGGGCTGGGGCCACAGTGGAGAGGGAGGGTATTAAAGATGGGGACTTATTAGAGAGGAGTAGAGTGGCAATAATAATCATGATGATAGTTAAAAATAATTATAATGATATATACTCAATGCGATGCCCTTTCTGATATATATAATTATAATAAAAAATGGTCTTTTTTTTTTCTCAGAAATTCAACTGATCACCAAAAGATTTTAGATGAAGCTAATGGGAAGCACAAAATGGTTGTTGATAAACTCAATGAGGAGAGAGCTTTACTTGAGGTTTGTGCAGTATTTTTACATGTATCTTTGTTAGCCTAGTAGCTGAATTAATTGTCCAAATTTCTGTACAACTTATATCTTCATCCTTAACCCTAACCATTTGATTCTCAGGTTTTCAGGCAATTTACAGGTGCCAAACCTGAGCAGTTGTGTATATATCCCTCCCCTAATACAACAACAGTCGACTGATATCAGGGGGGGTAGGGGTAATGTTGGGTTAGGGTAGGGGTGGGTGTGCATTTGCTTAGATACAAACATAGCTCCAAAATTTCCCATCTGATCAATAAGAAAAGTTAAAAGAGGTGGAAAGGTGAAGTATAAATCAGGTATGAGGAGTGAAATGACCCTTGCATCCAGTGACCAAGATTCATTTTTAATCATTGTTTGTTTCAACAGGCAAAACTCCATAAGACAGAAGAGGAATTAAAAGTTGCAAGTTTAAAAGCAGAAAAAGGGTAAAATGTTTAATTATTATAAATCTGTGATGTCTAAGGGACCCGAGTCAAACATGATAAAAGCCCATAGTAACAGAACTTCCTGACACCAGAACCTCTTCTTTGCTTTTGCCCCCTAACTCCCAGAAGTGATTGACATGTAACTTTTCCCTATAATATGCATATATTCTCCAGCAAACAGCTAATGAGAATACTTAACCTCATCAGGTAGAAGTTGTTATGATAATCTTGATTTAGCTCCAAATTCTCATAACTAATTGACAATGAAATGTGTAGTAACTAGGGGGGAGAATTCACAGTTACATCTTCAGTTGATAGTTGAAGGGTTGACACTGCCTAAAGGCTTAGGATGACTCAAGAAAGAAAAGCAGGAGATAGTAGATGGGTTAATAAATGTTACTGTAACAGTAACAGCTATGAGTGACAATTTTGTTTTCCTATTTGACAGTCACCAGCAACTTAAGCTCTTACACAAGGAGATGACATCCAGATATGGTGAGACAGAATTTTGGGCACATCTGTTCAGTTTATTTTTTTATTTTGCATATTAGAATACACCGAATGCAAATATGGCATCCAATTTGAATTGCTGTTGTTCTGGACTGACTAGCCTCTCACACATGTAACAATCCTTTTGTGTTTCCACATGAAGATGAGGCTAGTCAGTCCAGAACAATGGCAATTCAAATTTTGATACCATATTTGCATTCGGTGTATTACCAGTAGGAATTAAGTAGGAGAAAAGGTAAAGTATCTGGCATAGACCGACACCCTCTAAGGGGACTATTACCCGAGAAGAAAGTATTGACTTACAATTTGAGGAATCGAACAAGTCAGTATCCGAAAGTTAATACAGATAGATTCAAGAACTCTTTCATTAATCGCTTAATTTTTAAATACAGTTTAGCTATGTGAGCTTATAATTTAGATATCTATACTTTTTATTCAAATATTGTAACATAAGATTTGTATTTTTTATCTTGTGAGGAAGTAAAGACTACTACTACTACTATCTTGTGACCACTAAACATAGATTCTTTTACTGAGAGGGGGTTACAGGAACAGAAATCAGAAATCTTAGATGAAATTGTTGGTGATCAGCCATTTTTTACCTGTGATACATCACTGATTTTTGTACCTCCTCATGCAGTTGAAAAAATGTTCTTGATTTCACTGATTCCAATTTTTTTTTTGTCACAAAAATGCACATTTCCAGTTTTGTGTCTTAATAACAAAAATTATTTACATGTAATTTTAAGTGTTAACGTGGCAAGTTTTGCTGAATATAGAATGGCAACTGAACCTCCAAAATACAAAATCTAAGGCTACATGTTTCTTTACATTAGTGACTTAAATAATTATTTTTAATTAATCACTCTCCTTTCAGATGATGTTTCTAAAGTTGTCACTGAAAAACTTCCATTTAATGATACAAGTGAGTTCATCGTGGCAGTTGAGTAACTTCAGAATTCATACAGTTTCTGGAAAGTCCTGGAAATCTACCTTACTCAAACAGTAAAAGTTTTCAGAATTTACATATAGAAATGATGATGATTTCACAGTCTTTGGAATGAAAGGTGAATTTTGGAGTCACAAAAAATCAATCTGAGTCCTGGAAAATACATGGAAAAGTCCTTAAAATATATCCTCTGAAAAAGGGTACAAACCCTGGAACTTTACAAACCAGTTGATTGTTAATGCAAAAGTCGCTGCACTGATTAAAGTTTGCCTTTCTCCCTTCATGACCCCTTTCTTTAAATTGCAGGCATCAGAGAGCTAAACAAGCTTAATGTACCAACACATGATCGTAGGCACCAGGTAAAAAAAAATCACTTTAATGAAGCATGTCTTTTTATGGCTTTTTGCCTGTTTAGTTTTTTGCCAGCGGTGTATGTTGTGGTGGGATTTTATGGACTGAGGTCATCATCGTCATCTTTGTCTGTGTTATGGTGGTCATATTTATCATCATTGTATTTGCTGTTGTCATGGCAATCTCTCTCAGCACTGTTATCATTGTGAGATAGTTAACTTTGTGACAATCTTTTTTCTCTATGAATGGGCAACTGAAAGCTTGGTTGTTAAACTGTTATCTGTGAATCTCAAGATAGATAGATATTTGTTCAACGGGGAAGAAACACTTAGCTGTAGGGCTAGTTTACAGGTTTCCCACAAAATAAAAAGATAAATAAATAAAATAATAAATTAATACAATTATAATAACAGTTATACTTATTATAATTTCTACCACAACTTTCCAACCACCCTCTTCCCTCCCCCCAACAGGAAACATGTAGTAATCCTTCACTAAAATTATCAAATTCAGAACCCTAACCCTAAGCAAGGAATACTAATTTTTTATTATTTGCTGGATTCCCACAGGTGAAAGCAAAGGAATTAATTTGCCAAGCAGTTGAACTTGTTCGTGAGCTGGTGTCAGGAATGTCGAACTTTCTTACCTACACTGAACAGGTATTAAAAAAATTATTATTTTTTTCAATTGTTGAGTGTCATGTATTGTTTTTTCAAAGAAGCTAACTTGTATTTTAAATAGCATTTTAGTGTTGTGATGATTTTGTCAGTTTTGTGTTTAACTTTTTCCTTTTTTGCCCAGAATAACAAATAACTATAGATTTTGTAAAATAATTTAAACAATATTCTTCTCCATTTTACAGCGACTCAAGACCTTCTTTGTTGAATCAGCTCAGTTGCAGATCAGCCCTGTTACACAGAAGGTGATAGTTCTACTGTTCTCTTTTTCAATAAGTGGGTTCTGCATATGCACAGATTAAGATACTCCTATGTTAAGTAGACATGTACAACCGCACCAGACTTTAGAGTCAACTGTTAACTCAAACACACTTGATAAGTTGTGATTACCTCTAGTAGTATATGCATAACCTGAAAATTAGTACGTTTGTTGCTATGAAATGTTGTAGAAACAACCCTCCTATGACCATTTTGATTACCATGGCTGGTAGAAGAAATGTTTGCAACTAAATTTAGGGCAATAATAACTGAATTGTTGACCTGTGTTCAGTGGTTGCGAGGCAGGTTGTAATATGCCTGCGATACGTTGTCAGTAATTTTACTACTCTCTAATTTTTCTGTTGTTTTTATTATTATTATTATTTTTTTTATTTTTTTACTAGGAATATTTAACTCTGGAGATTTGATTGTTCACTTTCCCCTCTAGCTGCTATGCATTCACCTGTAAATTAGTTAAGATGATTTGGTGTTACATCAAGATTAATTCTACCTGATAAGTTTAAGTTTTCTCATTACCTGCTCCGTGGGTGATGTATGGATATTAAAGGAAGAAGTTACATGTTAATCACTTCTGGAAGTTGAAGGGTAAAGAGAATCTAATTTGATCTAAACAATTTGTGGCTTTACTTGATTGATGGGGCCTACACATTTTTATTTATTTATTTATTTTTCCTGTTTTTTTTCCAGTTTTGTGATTACCTTCATGGAAATGCAACAGTACTGAGAGCTGTGGATCAAGCATTTGTTTCATTCTACAGTAGCATCAAAACAGACTCTTTGATTTCTTTGGTAAGAGTGACCATGCTGCTTTTTAAGTTGTTTGGTATATTAAGACAACAGGCAGACAATGTAAGCTTATTACACCACTCAGTCATACTTCAGTTATCAACTAAAAGGGTGACAAAAATAAACAATAGAAAACAAAGGTAAATATCCTTAGTTTGGATGGAGAATCCCCCCCCCCCCCATGGAAAATTCCTGGATCTCCACCAGTAAGATCTGACTGGTTTGTTTTGCCCCTCACTCCAAGAAGTCTGCTTGGCACACTAACATCATTTTCTTTTCTTTTTTTTTTTTGCTAATTTAATTTTTTTTTCTTGTGCCACGGACTTTGCCGAAGAGAGGGACTGTTTGTAGTCTAGGTATATAATTTCTTTTTAACGAAGTTAAGTAGTGTATTTCCTTGAAATTATGGTTAACTGTTGCCGTTGTTTTTGTTGTCTCTCTAGGAAACCATACCTGGTTTTTATGATTTTTCTGAAGCTTTCCATAGATACAGCAATTACTTAAAGAAGCTTCTTCCATACTTTGTGTTGAGGTAAAGGATTTTGATTTTATAGTCATTATTGTTGTTATCATTATTCTTCTCATTTGTATTATCTGTGAGGAAATGGTGGCCAAACTTTGAATACTTAACATGCTCACATGAAAATCCAGATGGGAACGAAAAGTTAAATTCTGATTCTTAGTCAGGAGTTTAATCATTGTGATCTATTCTTTGGCAAGGCTAATCTGCTTGCAGGCGGTAGTTTGTGTTTTCAAGCGCGAGATTCAGCTCGGTGAATATTCGGTCGCGGTGTTGGACGGGTGGAAGATTTAAGACGCGTGACAAAGCGAGGGGAATGGGGGGAGGCTAGGGCAAGGCATTTTACTTGCGCAGTGTCTCTCCCCACCCAAGTGGTTTTGGGTACTAGTGAGCTGACGGGGTGCTCGGAAGCGGAAATGGAAGATCTCTTTAAAAAGCAGGCAGGTTTATTCGAGGGAAAAACGGTGAAATAGTGAATTCAGATAAAAACACCAACGACCTCGAAAATTGCGACTCAAAAAGTAAAACTCACCGTGACACGTGAAAATCGTACGCGTAACTTGCTTACGAAGCTTTAAAGCGCACGCGCGCAAATAGCGCGTCACGCAAGTTCGGTAACTGTCTTCTTAACACACGGAAACGTTATGAAATGCTGGGGGAGGGGAGAGACCTCTGATGGACAAGCATCCCATCCAGGGGGGAGTAGCAATACATCTAGTTACTTCACACTGCGGGAACTGAGTGAAGCACTCACTGGCTGCTATGTAGGCCAGTCCTGTTTGCATGATGATTTTCAAATTTATTTCTGTTGAAAAAATGAGTTCATTCTAAAATATGTATTTTTTATTTCTAATTTCAAGCACCAGTGAGGAATGTAAGGCCTCAACTTGTTCCACCACACTAGAAGCGTACAACAACGCTCTGCTGCACTCTCTCAGGAAGCTTATCACAGTATTCAATAAGATCGATACTCACATTGGCGCCTTGGCCTCAGCAAGTGAGTCGATAGTGAGGCGCTTTTCCATCTAGTGTCATGAAATAAAATCTGAATTAAAAAAAATCACTATTGCTCATTAGATCAAATAAAAACAGAGACGGGGGAGCGTATTGAATGAGGAGGGGAGGGGAGGGGGGGCTCGGGGCTCGTTGCACACAGCCATGTGCGTGTTATTTCGCCGACCTCCCAGCTCCGCTAACGATGTAAAATATCGCAAGGAGTCAATGAGAACTCATAGAAAGTGCCGGAAAACGCAAGTGACCAAGCAGCGGGAGCTCTTGCATTTGCTTCTGATTGGATGAGAGGGTAGCGCGAGTTTTGTAGACCAATCATAGATCGACACGTAGCAAAACCATTGCAAACCTGGATTACTTTTGTCTTCTGTCTTTTTCTGTAGTAGCACCGCATTATGTGACACTTCACATGTGAATCGTTTCTTTTTCTTTTTTCCAGGCTCTGGATCTGAAGGAATTCTATCAACCAATTATAATGTTTCCTTTATGCATCTTAACTCTGCCCTGCAGGAACTTCATGAATGTGTCAAAGGTATATTCACATTCATTGCTATCCCCTTAGTGAACTGTGCGTGACCTATAACCTGTGCGATTAAGTTAGATTTGGAGCACTTCTTGACCAATCAGAAAGAAGAGAAATATAACAGGCAACTAGGAAGAAGTCAAAGTACAGGTGGTCAAGGCGCAGTTGGTTTTAATTTTTTAATCTGATTGGTTAAGAAAATGGCGCGAGTTTTCTGGGCCAATTGTAATGAAGCAAAACCTAAGCAACATCGAATTACTTTAAATACTGAATTAAAAATTGATCTAACAGTACCAGGCACTTATTTTTCTTTGCAGTATTATCAACGAACTTCCAGTCCAAGGTATCTCTTGAGCATCAGCTACCCACGGCAACACAGGTGAGAAAAAAGGAGAACGAAGACCCAAAACTAGAAATAGTCATTCATATTTGCCTAAATTTGCAAAACTTGTAGTCGTGCTTAGTTAACCTCCTTTTTTAATATTGCAGACTATGAAAAGTACAGACGAATGTATTGTTTCTTCTTTAGTGTCTCTGCTGACCACAAGTGCCAAGGTACCTCTTAATTTGTTTTATTATCGTTGTTAGTTGAAAGGCGTCAAGGACTTTGTTTCTTCTTTTTATTTTTTGCCATAACATTTGCTTTGCTGTAAAGTCTAAAAGACGCCCTTGCCTTATGGTCAGCAGTTTTGCCCTGAACCCTTTCACCCTCAAGAGGGACTAGCATGTAATTTCTCATTACAATATCACCCCTGAATCACACAGTAAGGTCACGAGAATAGAAAAAATGATCACCAACTAAAAAAAGCTCTTGATTGTTAAACAAATTCTCCTGGTCAGCACCTTAAGAAATGTATAGAGAACAGTATGGAAAATATGCATATTGATGTTGGGGTGTAAAAAGTTAAAATTTCGCTCCCATTACTCACTCAGTGTTCGTTTAAACCAAATTTCAGATAGGAAAATTTATGAGTGGCAACTTGGATTTCTTGTCAACAAATTCTGGCGTCAGAACAAGAGGAATGACTTCTGCTGCTGAGAGCGAGGTGAGTGTTGTGACATCAACACTTTTCTTCTCCCTTCAAGCTTCTATAGGCTTCCATGTGAAGCAGTAAAGATAATTTGGTGCTTCTTCGAGATGAAATCTTTTAGCTGATGAATTTTTTATTCTCTTGATCTGTTTGTTGAATTGTGTATAACTCTTTTAAGTAGAAATTCCACGCTAATCATCCCCAAGAGTGAAGTAGTTATAGAACAGGTAGAAGACTTTTGCCTGTTTCGCATGATGTACTAGGAGCCTCTCTCTTCATTTTCTTTTAGCTCACTTCATCGCCAGCTGTCTTGGAATTCAGACATCACGCTGCCGACTACATACAAAAACTAATGCGGGTAAGTTGGTGATAAACATCCTGGCCGGCGGGCGTAATTTTTGCGTTTTTCAGACAAAGGAGGCAAGTGTGAGGCGAGGATTAAGCGAAAGTCACCCGTTCCTCCCCTCTCGTGTGATTCGCGGGAAGGAGACCTTGATAAAAAAGAAAGGAAAAAAGCATGATGTTTGTTCTGTTTCTTTAAGCCATCCCCGGAGTCAGTTCCTTACAGAGTAGCACTTCGAAATCACAAGGTCCTGATAAGTTCGACAGAAAGCAAAGATTCCTTAGAACAGCAGGTAAGCCAACATCGAGATACTCATTCTCCCTTAGGTTCTTGTACATTTTCTTCACTTTTGCTTGAGTGAATCCGTGTTACGATTAAAAAAATTTATTTCGGTGAACGTCCTATTGACTTTCTCAGATCTTGGGATCAGATCTTGGGATTTTTTCATAGGGAGCTTAATTTTCCATGGTTAGGCTATAGGGTATCAGTCGGGAACTTGTTATATTTGTATGATTTTGATTCGTTGTTCTTTACCTGGGAAGACACAGGGCCTCATCGTCAACAAATTCGCGAGTTCCTTTCTCGAGCGTTGGCCAGATTTTTGTGTTGCGTTGGAGCGCCTTTCGATTAAGTGTCGTAAAACCAACACCAAAGTAACCACAACGGCCAATCAGAAGAAAGGAAAATACTCCTAAAAGCCAATAAGAACTCAAAGAAAAAATTCGTAAAGCGCGGGAAACGAGGGCGACCAAGTCTGGTTTTAGTTTTGCATCTGATTGGTTGAGAGAATGGCGCAAGTTTTCAGGACCAATCACAAAGCGAAGTAAAGCAAAACCAAACCAGATTTAGTCCCGGAATTAACTTTAGACACTCAATTGAAGATTGCCCTTTGGAAAAGAAGAGTTCACCTCACAGTGCCTCTCTCCGCCTAGAAGTATCAGCTGCTAGGGAAAGTTGACGAAGCGTTCAACAAGCACCCCATCCAGCAGAAGTGACAGTACTCCTAATTATTTCTTGTTACTGAAAATGTGATATGCTTCGGCAACATTGGATCTCTACATGTGTAAGACTTTTTTTTTTTCACTTGCACAGATTGCATTGACGCGCGAGAAAGTTTCCAAGCTGGAACAAGCCAAGGAACATTGGATGTTAGAGTCTCAACTTTCACAAGTAAAATATGAAAAGGAAGTTAAGGTTTGTTCCGCCTCTGCATCTACATAGATTAAGTTTACAGTAAAAGATCCCAAGGCTTTGCATAGACTATAAAATATGTAAGATATTTTCAGTATTTTTCTACCAAACAGTTTTGTTGCAAACTAGGAATTTCATTATTTTTTTTGTCGTATATTGATTCATTTTCGTAACACTTTCATTAGAAAGTACGAGTTCTGGAGGAAGAGATAAACAAACTGCAGACTGCGAAAGGAGTACTTCCAGCAGTAGACGGCCTGTCGGTAGGTGGCAATTCTCTTCCCAGTTGGGTGTCGAAAGTTATACATAACTGCTTTGGTTTTGCTTTACTTCATCAGCCATGTTTTTATTTATGTTCTGTTCCAGTCTATCTCGGACGAAACTGGATCTACGTCATCGCATTCATCAATGACGTCACATAGTTACGAGGTCCAGGCCCCGCCGTCTGATGTATGAATTTATCTTCTGCCTTTGATTTGCTCCAATTTATTCTTTTCATTTCTTGGGACCTTTTGTTTTTCTTCTGGCCGCGTCGACCAGCCACAATCTCATGACTCTGTGCGCTCCTTCTTCTCTCTCCCAGGCCTCCTATACCAGCTGGCCAAAAGACAAATTATGCTTATCTAGAACTATCATAAATGACATTGAACACAAGTGCTAACTGTTGTGCTGTTTTTCACTTTAAATTTATGATTGTAGCTTGGAGAAGTGGCGCTACTCAACCAAGCCGAGGTGAGAACCAAGATGTTGCATTTTGTCACAATTAAAGTGACTTTCCGAGTTTGTACATTCTTGTTAACTTGAAGGTGAAGCCTTCTTCCTTCGTTGCTAAATTCACTGTTCTCGTTTTGGTTGGGAGTTAGCCTGAATCTATTATACAGAAATAAAGTTATACTCCTTTTACGATGAAGTGACGATATACCTCTCTGGTTGGCTGTGGCCACGATTGAAAGCCGTTAAAGCGCATGCGCTGGTTACAGCTTTTGAGATATTTTGCCCAAGATTTCTAAGAGACTGTAAAGTGACCTGCTTTTTTTCAATGCAATTTTAGGGAGCAGAGGATGTAACACGGGAAACACTGATCAAAAATCATTTTACGCAAAGAGTAGCTCAGCTTACTTCACAGGTAAATTACCAAAATTATGAATTCTCAGTTGTCTTAGTGTATAGTACGCTTCTAGTACAAGGGGTGTAGAGAGAGAACTCGGTGGCCTGGTAGTGAGGCCAAATCACGGGGTCTGGGTTCGAAACCTAGCTGGGTCATTGTGTTGTGTTTTTGTGCAAAACACTATACCGTCACATTTCCTGTCTACCCCCTCCCCCCTGATAGGGTGAGGAGCAGTACTCTTGGTCACTTCATGGTACAGAAACCGGGAAATATTTTGCAATTCTCGACCTCTTGGATCTTGAATAATTAATGATTGCTTATTTTTCTTAGATGCAATTTGCGGAGAGCAAGACTGTATCCATAACTGCAGAGGTATAACCAGCTTTTCAAGTCCTCTCTTGTAACTTTTTCAAGTATTTATTTGGTTCTTCATTTAATTATTCAGTCGTTTATTGTTTGTAGTCACATATTGTGATTCGTGAACCTGATAATTAAGTCCTAACCAGTAGAGCGGGCGTAATTTTGGCGACCGAGCGCTCAATTTGATTTTAATGGAAGCGGAAGGCTGGGGAGAAAAAAGAATTTGTACCAAGGGGGTGAGCGATAGTGAAATAATAAGAAGGAGGATGAACGTGGGGGAGTGAAGCACCTACCACCCCTTCCTCAACCATCGGCTCAACTCCAAATTAAACATGGCTGGTTGAAGAAACGATCGCGCGCTTCTTATTGTTAATTCCCCTTAATAAGACGCTTGCACTGTAGGCTACTTAAGTCCTTATTTAGCGTGAATGTGTCTTACTGAGAGTAATGTAGAGTCAAACTTCGAGGCAGTCTGTTCAGTGATTGAAATCACCTCGATTAAGGCTCCTAAAGCCAAAACCACTTAGATAATCTCAACGTCTCATCAGAACTTGTCGCACTTGATTATAGTTTACATCTGATTGGTCGAGAGGTTGGCGCGAGTTTTCTTGACCAATTACGAGCGAAGTAAAACCAACCAACGCAATCCACTGTTGTTTCCTTGATATGGTAGAAATTAAAGGAATAATCCACCCATATACCAATTTAGTTACGCGTTTATTTCATTTTTTTATTCATTCATTTTTTTTTATAAGTGCCGCGCTCTGTACCGACGCATGAAACAGGCTGAAAAGACGAAACAAGAACTCGCAAAAAATCTCAAGACAGCTACCTCAAAAGTCAGCCAACTCGAGGTAAACTAAAACTGGCAACAAACGCCTACAAGATTGTTTATGTCGAATATGTACCAATTTTTTTCACGATATTTCGCTGAGAATCTCTCAGAAAAAAAGTTACTTCTCGGGGATGTATATTTTCCCGCCATCTGATCGTGGCAATTTAACGCTGTTATGTGCGTACGTTTCCCGCCTCCAGTTGAAGGCGTATGTGTTCACTGTTTTTCCTTCACTAACGCGTATTTATTCACTGTTTTACTGCCACTAAACGCGCCTTTGTTTACTGTTTTCCTCTCATTAAATGCGTGTGTACTCATTTTTTTTTTGCGTGAGTTTACATTTTTCCCGCCACCAAACACGTTTGTGTTCACTGTTTTTCCATCAATGCGAAAATGAGCACTGTTTTCCCGCACTAAGTGCGTATGTTCACTCTTTTCCCGCCACTAAAGTCTTTATGTTTACTCTTTTCCCACAATTAAGGCGCCTTTGTTGACTGTTTTCCCGCCTTCAAACGCGTCTTTGATCACTGTTTTCCTCTACTAAACACACCTTTGTTGACTGTGTTCCCGCCTCTAAACGCGTGTATTTACTTATCATATAAGGGGCAAAATTACTGAATTGTGATTGGTTAAGAGAGATGGCATATTTTTTTAATTTTTGTAATTGCCCNATATCACTTGTGTTTTCGGAAGTTGCAGAAATTTCAGCAACTTCCGAAAACACGCGTGATATTAATCCTTAATTTTACTCGGCCCCATGCGATTACCTATACTTATCGCTTTTCCTCTCCTTGACGCGTGTGTGTTCACCGCTTTCCCGCCACTTGAACGCGTGCGCTCACATGTCTCCCGCGCTTTTTTAGGACGAGGCGGAGACAATCAAGCGAAGCTACGAGACACAGTTATCAATGATGAGCGATCATTTGTGTGGAATGAACGAAAAGCTCACCTCACAGCAAGACGAAATAGAGGCCCTGAAGGGTGGTAAGACGAAAAAGGGAAAACAGCGGTAACGAAGAAAGATTATATTTTCAAATAGAGACAGTAATATTGTGAAGAAGAAAAGATTTCGGAAGGTTTTATTGTTATATGAAATGCAGATTTTACAAAATGGCCATCAAAATTTACCCGGAGGATTATTCGATCTGTGATGCCGTATAAACACCTGAAATAGCACTAATATTTTGACCGATGCCCTTAAATATATATATTTTTTTTCTCAGTAAGATTTGATACTTTCTCGTTGTTTACTTCATTTTTGAGGGTTGTCCAATCCACCCAAGTATTGGACACGTTTGTTCATTTTCATCTAGTTTCTATAATTTTATTCTTATCTTTCTTTTAAGGGAATATTTCTCCTCGGACAAGCTCGAAATAAAAATCTAAAATTCTGAGACTCATCTCGCCAAATAAACCAAGGTCTTACTCACCTACTAGGTGTTACACCGCAGTGTTTTGAATTTTGTTTTATTTTTCCTTTTTAAATACTTTCGTCTATAAAAATCGTATGGAATATTATGGACTTGTTGCCGGATTGAGTGGAAGGGCAGGACGGGTCCTAAATATTTGGCCCGAGGTTATGATTGCGCACGGTCCATGAATCATAACCGTGAGCTAAATAATTTCCCGGCCGGCTCTATCAAACTCAGTTAGTAGACATTGAAAATTAAGAAGAATTAAGAAAGAGTTGCATGTTGATCATCTGTGGAAGTTAGGACTGTAAACCCATAATGAAACTTCAGACCAGTTGATATTAGCATGTATCAACAATTCTGTAACTTTGAACAGCTTTGTAAGAAATTTTTGTAATAGAATTCTACGGACTGATAATAGAATTTGATAATTTGTAATTTAACGTTCGATGTAACTTGCTAGTGTATAACAATGCAACCAAGCGCGTTTGTGAACTCATATTTATATCCGCTTGCCCCCTCCCTCCCCTCCCTGCGAAAAATTTAAAGCCGGTTTGGGAATGAATTGGACGAAGTGCAAAGACAAAAGAAATCTGATAAAACCTCTGCCTATGGGAGATTTACTAGGCTTACACTTATCCAAATGGTTATTTGATGGGCTTATTAGACCTTGCTTGAGCGGAATTAATTTTTTATGATACAGGGGACTCCATGAAAATATTGCATACGAATAGCTTGACACGGATCCAATATTTCAAAATGATAAAACACTCAAAGTATGTGAAAGGATATGAAACACAGAGTGATGCTATAATCTTTAAACAAATACTATATAAACAAGAGAACTTTATAACTACGATATGCAAGTAAATTCGAAAATAACCTTTCATATTAAAAAACTTATAACAGGACTGTTCCAGCAATAAAAAAAAACTTTCGCTTTTAATCTCTAGCTCTCCTAAGCGGTAAAAAAACTACTAGACAGAAAATGAATGTAACTCCTAGTATCAGTTATTTATGGGAAAAAGCTCGTCAGAAATTTACTGCTTCTCCTCGTAACATTTCTAAGTTTGCTGCGTTATACGGCCGCAGCTGAGCATAGCTTAGAGCAAGGTAAGGGATTAACCGTGACGGAGTTTATTTTAATTAAAGAATGAAATCAATGTTCTCTTTTGTATGCCCCCTGATGCATAAACAATGTAGATTTGGGTGAAATACAGGCGTACTGGTTTAGTTGTTGTTCTTGTAAACCAGTTCCTAACATGGTTACAGCTATTTCTATGTCAAACTTCATTCGTCATTCATGGGGTTAGGACTGTCTGATTCAAATAAACATCTCCCGAAAAGTAATCAAAGAGTTAATTATAATGATTAAGCGCATTAGCCCGATCAAAGCTAAAACAAACCGAAAAAAAGGTTAATATTTTACCGGAGGATTTCAGATGATTCAGCGGAGATTGTAAAATACTGTGGTAAGAATGCTTTTAAAAGGCTTTCCAGGAGATTTCTGCGAGAGCATTTTGATCGACGGGAAATTCTTTTTTGTCAAAATACCGTAATTATTAACTTTCGGGGTAACCAGCCGTTATAAATAGCGACGAAGTGTTGTTTATCGGCGAGATCAGTGATAAGATTAAATGAAGCTGCCTTCAAAACACGATTAAAATGACTAAAATTAAAATTAGTTTCTGAATCTGTAACGTTTGATTGAAAGAAAAAGTCCGTTTTAGGGCAGAGCCTCGATCAGTAAACGGAACTGCGAGAGGAAGTAAATTCCGCAGAAAGAAAAGACACTGGCAATCAAAACTGAATTTTTTTATAGATCACCCACGCTTTAAACAAATAGTGGAACGAATTTAAACGTGATGTTTACTCGATAAGTAAATTTTTCTTTCTCGCTTTAAAAGGCCTTGTTGCGAAGCAGCGAAAATGACAGCTGAGGCACATGGTTTCCTTTTACAATTGCGTTAAGAGCTGTCAGTCAAAAGGAGCAGAACGCTCAGTGATTGGCCAATATCTCGAAGCCATTTGAGTGCTTCTGTAAGCAGCTGTCTTCTCGAACTTAGCGTTTGTCATAAAAAGGGAGCTCGTGGATTCGAGTGCAGCGTTTAGCAGGAACAGAAAATGATTTGTGAAAGCAATCAGAAGACTATTCAAACGTAATGACGGCCATGACATTCCATCGGGGACAAATGGAGTATATACAACCGCCCCAGAATTCTCAGGTAAATGGAGTGCACCTTTTGTGAAGCATTCTGATTTGCAACACGTAAAATGTACTCAACTTTTCAAACTCACACCCCTTTTCCTTGTGCCCGCCCACTAAACGCTTTTAATCGACAGGAAATCCAACCCTCTCCTCTGGCCCTGCTAGCTGCGACTTGTAGTAAGATCGGACAGGGATTTGAAGCGCCTCAAAACATCCTACAAGCGCCGATCAACCAACTAGCGACACACCATGAGTTCGCGACCTCGTGGGCTACGGAACAGAGCGGATCGACGCATACAAATGACGATGTCTACAACTCCAATACACCGAACGTTCTCCAGACGCAAAATCACTCCAACTCGGGTCTATATGCCTCCATAAACCAGGTGGAACAAAGCCAGATGTATTATGCAGCCGTTACGTCAAGTCCTGTTCTTTCACAACAAGGACTTCTAACAAACACCGAAGCCAGCGTTAATCTCGCATATACCCCGGAATACGACTTGTCTAAAACGGTGGATGGCGTATGGACTGTAAAATCCGACTCAGGAGAAACTAATACTGCGATCGGAACCCAGTGGTGGCACGGAAAGCCTTTGTCTTGGGCTAAAAGCACAAGTAGCCCTTCGCATCAATTTGTGGTGTCTCCTTCTTACCCAACAACTGTGGGAACTAGCGACGCAGGTATTTCCATGGTAGAACAACAGGGACAAGATGCGGCAGTGGACAACAATTCACAGAATCCCGCCTACGTTCAAGTAACCAGGACACCACAAGGGCAGATTATTTTAACTCAAGAAAGCTCAGAACCAAATAAATGGCTTTCTACTGGAACGGTTAATGTAATCGCTGCGGCATCAAACGCTGCGAACGGAAATGCAGCTATTCAGGTACAAGTCCATCCCGAATCGCCGCAAGAAACGCAAAATGTCAGCGTTGGTGTCGGGCAAGGGAACAATCGGCGGCTTCGACGGGTCGCATGCACTTGTCCTAATTGTAGAGAAGGCGAAGGACGAACAGCTGATGGCCGTAAGCAACATATCTGTCATATTCCAGGTTGTGGAAAAGTTTATGGCAAGACATCTCACTTGCGGGCGCATCTGCGATGGCACACGGGCGAGCGGCCGTTTGTGTGCAATTGGCTATTTTGCGGAAAACGATTCACTCGATCCGACGAGTTGCAACGCCATAGAAGAACTCATACAGGTGAAAAACGTTTTGCATGTCCAGAATGCGGCAAACGTTTCATGCGAAGCGACCATCTGTCAAAGCATGTACGGACACACTCAAACGGAAAGACGGTCAAAGGGAATGGCGTGATGGGTTCTGGAGAAACCATCGCGATTCGACCGATCCCGCAACAAGAAATTTCAAACTTGCCAGCAATTGAACCACGGCCTGAGGAGATTAAAACTAAAGTGGAAAGTGATCGTTCGGCAGTTGTGGAAGTAGATCTTCCCAATGTTGCGGTCGCTGTTGAACAGAATCAATTGAGTGAGAATGAATATTTTACGGGCGATGCGACAGAACACTATCTAGACGACATGAGTGTTGCTCACGAATTCGTTGCAGTTCGAATGGATGGGACTCCTGGCACAGCTATTTTAGTACAGGCTCAAAACTTAAACATTAGTCAGGATGTCTAAGGAAAATGGGGAGGTAATAAAACTATCCGTTCTTTGAAGATGAGAAAAAAGCATCGATGTAAAAGCGGCAACATTTCGTTCAATATATTTAAATTTGAAACATGTTGCAGAAGTATTTAGGCTTTTTAGATTTATGGAGAACGGGTATGAAATGATTTTTCGATTTAAAGGGCGCAAGATTTTCGTGGTTCTATCGAGTCGATCAAAAAAATTGGATCAAACCCAATTTGAAAAGCGTTGTGTATACAATTTATTCAAACAATCTATGTAGGTATGTTTTGGAAAGTAAACAAAAGTTTGCGATGCCCTAATTGAAGCGAAGTAAGTAAGAAAATTCTAAAATCACCGCACCAGTTACTGTCTTCAAGTCAAAGGATTCGTGATCTTCTGGACACAAAGAAATCACTTAATGTGTGATTATTTTTTATACGATTCAAACTGAAATTTTGAGGCCTTGTAAGAAGTTATTGAATTATTTATAACTGTTTGAAAGTTTCACCCGAAACAGAAAGGAATTTTAATATCAGCTTTAGTTTACTTGAAAGTTGTAATCATACTTCTAAGCATACTTCTAAGCATAACAAGAATCTTGCCAAAAGTGACCTGTACAGAATACAACAAATATGGAAAACTAGGATTTTTTTAAAGTTGCTGGCTGTGAATGAAAAAGATCTTTGCTGGAATCATGGATATCTTTTTTTAAAATGTATATTTGTACAAAGAGGAAGTCGTATTCTGACCAATCTATTTTTATCAAACTTAGTCAAGGAATTTATGGCTTTGAAATGTCAGTAAAATGATTTACAACTGTCTTATTGGAATTTTTTCTTTCATTGTTATGTTGTGAAACATCTTTTTGTGGGGTGCATGATCGTTTCACTACCAAGGTCTGAGTGGTAAATCTCTTTTCTGCAATAGAATTTTTATGATGTTTGAAGAATTTGGTATTGGATCAACTAATAATCCCCTGATATTTTTCTCCATTCTTGTTACTTGTCTGCTTGATTTTGTATTAAAGTTGTAAGAATGGTTGGTCTCTCCCACAAGTTAAAGGGTTAGGAAAGAGCCCTGCTGATCCAGTCTTTCTCTACCAATCCACCTGAAACCAGTACACTATATGTATGATGTCAGAATTAAGCTGTATTGATTCAATGTCCACAGTCCAGAAAAATCCCATTTTGCTTCTTTCACACAAGCTATTGACAGCTTCTCTTGATGCAATAAAAAAAAAATTAATGAACAGAATAAGTAAGCAGCACTTTGCTCTTTGCAAATTTGGGGCTAGAAGCCTCCAGTGCAGCTTTGGTTCATATGCTCTTTTCCTGCATTTCATTGGTGTTGTAATTATATGAATTTGAAGATTTTAGTATTCTCTTGTTTAGCCTAGTGGTGACCAAATGGTTGGTGCACTGGACTCTGAGGCAAGAGGTTTGGGCCTAGTTGTTTGAAGGCTGAGTAGCACTAGCCCAGGCTTAAATATTAATCCAGGTTTCATCATAGCTCTGTTCAAAAGCCATTTTGGGGAAAATTTTCTCTTTTGTCTTGAGGACATCCAATCACCAAACTGTAGACAATGGGTATTAAACTGAATCTTCCTTTTAAGCTTTCAGATATGATATGAAATTTCATGCTAGCCTTGGGTTATCTTATCCCAGCTTTGAAGAACCCCACCCTAGGTTTGAGACCAGGCAGGGTCAGTATCTTGAGCTCTCAGGCAAAACATTTCACTCACAAAGCACTTCTGTCCACCCAGGAATGTAAAAGGGTAATGGGAAATGATCAAGGAAGTCTAGGATAGCCTTGTGATGCACTAGCATCCCAACTAGAGGAGGGTGGTGATGCTCTTTGCGGCTTTGTGCTGAGGATATTGGAGATAAGCTCTAGACTCCACCCTCTAACTCCCAGTGGTGATTAACATGAAACTTCTCCCTAAAATATCCATACATTTTCCAGCAAACAGGTAATGAGAATACTTGAACTTACCAAGTAGAAGTTGGGCACTGATCTAGTACCAAATTCTTATAACTAATTTGCAAGGAAATGTGTAGCTGCTAGAGGGGAGAATTCACAATCCGACCTTGGGATTTAAAGAATTAACCTTTACCTTGTGTAGCCTACAGAACAGCTGTGATGTTTCTGTGTTTGTTTGGAAATGACGGTAATCCCAGAGGTTGAATCATGCGTTCAACATGCATGTAACTATTCGGGAAAAAAAATTACACTTGACAGTATTGGCCAACTATTTAGCAGATAAGTGGTGAGAAAAACAAGTTGAATATCAACCAGGAGTTACATTATCCTTGGACTCCTGATTGTGACTAGCATCTAAATTCTCATTGCATTATCACAACTGAACAAAATACTAATCTTTGACTGCTGACAGTGAGTAGCATCTAACATTTCCCAAAATAATATCATCCCTGAATCACATTGAGGTCACAAGAAAAAAGTAAATGATGCCCAACTAAAGAAGCTCTTGATTGTTAAACAAATTCTCCTGGTCAGCACCTCAGGTAATGAATGGAGAACAGTATGGAGAATATACATACTGATGTTAGGCTGTAAAGGGAGCAAATTATTTTTGTCCACACCATAAGAAAGGTTTGAAGAACAAGGTGGAGAAAATTCAAATATTGAAATATTTTTTGCCAAATTGACCCATTGTTTTGCACAGCTTCTGCTTAGTTCACCCAT